ACCCAATTTGTTACATACCATTTGTGGTATACCATTCATGACTTTTATTTTTGTTTTGTTTTGTTATTGTTGTTGTCCTTGCATACTAACTCACTGGCACTAACTTTCAATTATGAAAACATTATTACTCTGGGAAATAATAACTGTGTAAAACTTTGGATACTAAAACCCCTATTTTTTTGTTACAGAGGAATTATGTTATTAGAATACATTGTTAGGTTTAACTACTTTGTAATGTAATGGTCGCAAGCAAAAGGATCAAAAACTAACTAGAGAAAAGTTCAAGGTATTGTTCATATACTTTTATCTTTTTAACCTTTCTCTGATTCATTTATTTTTCCTCTTCAGAAATTAACAATCTAGGAAAGTAAAGAGAACAATTTGAGAACTATTTTGATAGTTGCAGGCCGTACTTTTTTTCTGCTAATATATAGATCCTACTAGCAACCTTTATTCACAGCACTGTTAATATGCTGCTCTTCATTTGATGTAAGAACAACAACAGAGCATGTTGTCACATATGACTTTACCAAGCAAAATCAAGTATTTCATGTATTTTCATGCTAATAATTTTATAAAGCACTAAAATGTCCTCTTTTTTTTGACAATGAAATTTGACCTCACCTGACTTTTTGTATAACATTGAGCTTGTTCTTGCAATAATGGAAACCAATAAATTAAGATGCACATTTTATCATTTTATGATTATCAAGTCGATAAGTCATTTTTTTAAAACACAAATATACTCATTTCAGTGGATTTTGCGGGAACACACACACATACACACATTTTGATAATGAGATAGATGAGTGTTGGATTTGAGGCTTTGGAGCCAAACATTATAATTGTGAGATACTCTTCCCTTCCCCATTAGCATACCACCAAATCTGATTGTTACAATGAATTCTAAGAGTATGCAGTTCTTTATAAAATGTCTGCCAAACTATTACCTCTACAGAACTATTCATTGTAGAAAACATATTTGAACCAGGTTGACAGAGCACTCTTGCTGCAGCCCACCTACCAGATCATAAACATTATATACAATCTTTTATTATCACAATGTTTGGTATTTTAAAAAAATGTACATTTGGTGATTTAGAATTTCCATTAAAAAAATCCATTTGGGTGAACAGTGCCATGCAGACGGCTGGGGCTTAATACATGTTTGCACTACCGTTAAGAGTATAACTTCCACTGTACTCATTGATAAGTTTATATGTTTACAGATGATATCTTTGCTTTAATTTGCATATCTTAGAATACTAATGAGGTTGAACATTTTTCTATCTGTTAACCATTTGTATTTATATCTTTATGAATTGTCTGCTCATATCATTTACATGTTTCCCTTAGGGGTAAGTTTTAAAATATGGAAGTTTGAGAGGCAAGATTACAATGTTAGCATCACCCTGTTAATATATGACAATTGCTTAGACTTTATATTTTTTGTCTCAAATAGCAGTGCAGAGAAATGCCATAGTGTATGTATATTCAGTTAGAACATCTTTATAATGCTTTCAGTAACACTATCAGATGGTGCTCTTTGAAAAAGTCATTGTTCTCTTTGAGCTAGCACAGTTAACTAATTCATGTATACTTTGTGAAAAATTGCTTTTGTGCTCTGTGGTTGGTCATTGTTTAGAAAACAAAATGTGTCTAGTTGTTGTGAGGTGGGCAGGTGTGGCATGAGAGTAATATACAGATGTTACAGGGAAAAGGTTTGATTTTTAGAAAGAAAATTGATGAACACATTCTCTCCCATGAATAATTTTATAGTGGAAATGGAACTATTTGAGCATGATTTGCTTGATTCTCATTTAATATGTGAAAGTGGATCGAAATAACAATTGTTTTAAGCAGAATTAAGAAATTTCTATTCTTACATGAGTTTTTATAAAACAAAAGGTTCCTGCATAATTGTCATAAACTTCAAAACCATTATCTAATTATCTACTGTAGACACCTGACTCTCAAATTGATGGGTCATTAATTAATAATATGAAATTCAGCCATATCATCTTGCCAAGAAACAGCAGAGGTATTTGATTGTTAGGCAGTCTTGGAAGAATTCGTTGTAATTAATAATCCTACTGTTTCTTACTGCCAGCATTACCTTATGGAGTCAAACCTTGGAGTGGGAAGTTATTTAGAACATGAAATTGCTTTCGAAAAAATTCCCTGAGGAGGTTAATTTCTCTATATCAGGGTTTCTCAACTTTGACACACTTGACATTTTTGCCAGGGTCCACCTTTGGCATGGAGAACTTTCCTGTGCATTGTAGGATGTTTAGCAGCATCCCATTAGACAGTAGCACACACCCACTCCACCTTGGAACATTGAAAAATGTCTCCAGACATTGCCAAACATGGGGGAGACGGAGCCAATAATCCCCTTGGTCCCCCTGCCCCTGCTGAGAACCACTGGTCTTTACATTGCTTTTAACTATATGACTTTAAAAATATTTAAAATGTTATTTGTTCTTGGAATTACTCAGATAATCATTCCTTATAAGTATAGTTTGATATATAGTTGTGGACTGGGGTTTGCAGAGAGGTTTCACCTCCTTGCAGTGTTTAAAAGCAATGCTCTTCGCATCCAGTCAGTAAACTTAATGAAAAACAGATAGAAGAGAATCTTGAATCTGCTGAGAAGGTTGACATCACATGTACTGTTACTGATGCAGAATTAATTGGGAGTGTTCTGAATGTTAAAAAGTGAAAAGATATGTTGATAAAAAGTCATGAAGAAGATGATTTTACTGAAGTCTTCTTCAGCTTTTGAAATAATTAATTAGAAAGCCAGCTGTATTATCTTGCCAAGAAACGGCTGCATTTTTACATTCTGCTTTTCAGTTTTAAGAGCAAGAGACAGATGACAAGTAAACAAGTTGTTATCTGTAGTTTATTATTTTTTAAAGCAATTTCCAGAATATGTCATAGGGGCAATGTGGTTTCAGCTTTACTCCTGTCCCTGTTACATTTGTGGTTCTATAAAAATGATAATTGATGGTCATTTAAAGCACTGCATGGTAAACAAATGTCTTTGGAATGATCTACAGAAATGAGATTCTGTATTTATTTGGATGATATATATTAAACCTCTCATGTGCCAGGTTCTGTGCAGGAAATACAGAAAATAAGAAAACATTCTGCTTTAATATCCCATTAAAATAATCCTGGATGGATTGAAATATTCTGGTTAGGGATTCTGATTACCATCAATCTATTACTCACTTTTCCAAATGATTCTGTAACATTAAATGTCTGTCTGAAAAAGCTGTTTAACAGTGTGTGTGTGCTATATATCATGTATATAATTTAATTATTTTAAAGCTATTTCTGAAGCTAGTGGAAAGCTATATTCATTTTCTTTTATGCTTGTTAAAAATCTTATTTAAATTATTCTCTTTATTATATATCCATGAGTGTTGAATAAAACATGGTCCTATATTATTAATTTATTTTTGCATTATATGGTAGCTCTAATATGATTGAGAAAAATTGATGTCACCCTTAAGGCCAGAATATTTGCTAATTATTGCCAGTTGGTGTCAGAATTTGAAAAGCAGGATCTTTATTAAAAGATGGTATAGTCTTAAACTTTTTTGTTGTTGTTGTTAAAACTGATAAGTGATCCGCTTAGAGTATAGGTATAATAGGGAAAACAAAGTGAAATCTTTATGGTATTGGATAGACCAGAGTTAGAAAAACAAGGAAATCAACATTTAGGAAGTTACAGATAAATAGGAAAAATACAAAGTTCTAGCACTTAAAAATCCATTCTTCCTCCTCCTTTTCTATTGTCCATTTTAGCAGTCTACGTCATGAATGCACTAGCCCATTCAGAGCCATGGGCTCCCTGCTCTTAGGCAGGTGATTCAGAGACTATTTTAGCAGTGTGTACCTAAGAAAACACAAGCCTGACAAGTCTAAGGAATAATGAAAGGTTGTACTATGATGGTCATGGTGTAACCTAACTGAGGCCCTTTAACTATTAAATATGTTGGCATATTCTCTATGGAACTAACTGATCTGTTGACTACAGGTTCTCCAATCTCTTTTATGGCCCCTGAAAGAGTACTGATATAATATACATGGGCATAGCTTATATTTATTATTTTTATTATTTATTTCTTCGAAAAGATGGAAATGCCACTAGACTAGGTATTTAGCTAAATAATCCCAACCTGATAAGTGAGAGATACTGCTAGAAAATGAAATTTTTCATGTGTAAAACTTTTTGTTCTGTTTAAGTTAATTAGGACTATAATAACACAAAAGGAAACAATGTTCTAATATATCATGGTTAATCTTGACTTTTATTAATGGGGTCTTTGGATTTTGTAATCAGACTAGACTTAGATTTAAATCCTGGCTCAACCACTTTAATAACTTTGCGGCCTTAGTTATTACTTCTGTAATTCATTTTGCCTACCCTTAATAAAAAGGACATAATAATAATATAAATTGCAATGGATTCTTTTATGGATTATATAAGATCATGTGTGTAAATTTCTTGCAAAATATCTGATACATAGTGACTGTTCAGTAAATGATAAATATTTTTATCTTTCTAATAGTCTGTGTCCCAAATTAATTTTAACTGCAAATAACACAATTTGACTGTATTGTTACCTACACTTTGAAATACCAAAAGCAATTACTCTGGCACCAAGAAAAGCAAAACCCTCTGTGGTTATGGTTTTGAACCAGATTTTAGTTGATTTCTCAGGTCTCATTTATCTTTACTGACATTGGGAAGCTTTTCACAAATAGGTATATAGATATAGAGATATCGATGTAGATATAGAGATAGAGATGGATATAATATCTTCTATAATGTAGAATGGTATGGGCCTAAAATACAGTGAAACAAAATTCAGTATATTCCATAGTCAGATGATTGACACCAGTGACTGTTTCTCTAAATAATCTCATTATTATGAATTATATGACAACTTTTAATTTGAATTTCTTTATGGTTTAAAACATTTCAGATCTCTCGTGGAAGAGGAAGACCAACACGTGAAATTGTCCCTTGGAAGCAGCGAAATGGGCCTCTCATCCCATTTGCAATCTTCCAAGGCAGGAACCACACGCATCTTTACCAGCAATACCCACAGTTCTGTGGTGTTACAGGTAACTTAAGCTGTCTTTTTTGTAGTATTTACATGTCTTTAGAAGCTAACCAGGGTTTTTGTGGTGTGGGATGTGATATGGGATAGTGGTATGGTACAGTGTGGGAGGTTGTGCATGTCTGGGGACAGGGAATATTGGGAAACTCTCTGTACTTTCTGCTCAAGTTTGCTGTGAACCTAAATCTTCTCTAAAAAAATAAAGTTTACTAATATTTTTTTATAAAGCAGACAAACACCAGAGGAGAAACCTTGAAGGGAAAAGTGCATACCTTTGTGATGTTTTAAAGCAACCCCCACAGTTCATTCTTTGTTTTGTTTGTGCAAAAGAGGTATTTTGGTCATGCCACTTTCTTAGACAGTGTTGTATTTGGCAACATTAACTTTCCATCATGTTTCAGCCAAAATAAACATTACGAAATCCCTACACTACATTTTCTAGTACCTCAATCACATCCTATTTTACTATCACCTTTATCATGGTTCTAACAATTGTATTTATTTGGTGTCTCAATTCACATTGGCACTAGCAGGTGTGGGAGTACGAGTGAGGACTGCTGTATGCAAGCACACTGGTAAATGTAAGAAGTAATAACTCACATCGAAGGAGAGGACAGAAAAACTATAGACAGCCACAGGAACACAAAAACCTGCAATGTGCAGATATTTAGAATAGGGATAAGGAGTCCAGGTATTTCTGACACTTGTAGACACTCCCTGATATCTGTGAGCATTGCTGAGAGAACAATATAATATTGGATGTCCATAAATGTCTTCTAAATATAGTTAAATTATATCAGTGTTCTCTGTTTAGTAAGATAAGGAAAAACCAATCTTTCTAAATGTATTTTTAAAAGAAGTCTCCCCAGAAAAATGTCATGCGTATTCCTGGTCAGGAACCATTATAGTAAAGCAGTATAGTGTAATAGCATAGTATAGTATAGTATATTGCATAGTGAGAGAAGAAGCTTATCCTTGATGTGTGGCTTTACTATGTCATGTATTTTCTCTGGGCTTCCTTTTACTTATCTCCAAAATATGACTCTTGACTAAGAGATCTCTAAATTCCCTTCTAGTTCCCATTTCTCTGATTCAGTGAAATCATATTTTTCCAAAGTTTCAGTTTCTACTGGGAGGTGGGATTTATGGTTCATTGTCCTGTGGGTATCACCAACAGAAATGTCAGGGTCAGGAAGAAAAAGCTTTCCATCCCTGGCATCTTAACTCTATGTACATGGTTTAATTGTTGTTTTTAACGCTATGGGAGGAGAGAATGAGGGGTCAAGCAGATAGGAAAATCACGAGAGGAAGAGGTTTTTGTTATATTAATGTATTCTCTCTAAAGAAAATACAAAAAGACCCACATACCCTTCCACTATACTTCTGCCCTATCCATAACCATAGTCATGTGTCAAAGGCAATTTTTGTGGTCCTGCTAATTTTAAAAATGTACTTTAATCCAAATAATGATAGAAACTGCAGTGCAGCAAAACAGATTTAGAGCAGTGGTCCTCAAATTTTAGTGTGTATCAGAATCACAAAGAGGAGAGCTGTTAAAACAGTGAGCACCGGGCCCTACCTCCAGAGTTTCTGAATCAAAAACTGTGGGTGGGGCCCAGAAATGTGCATTCCTAACAAGTTCCCACGTGATGCTTCTATCTAGGTAACATACTTTCAGAACCATTGTTTTAGAGGCAAGGTCCTTCTTCCATCAAGAGAGATGGCATCTTATTTCCCCCCTTCATTTCATATGGCAATATGAAGTCAGACAATGAAGTTCGCGAACTCATCCTAGAAAAAGTGCTACATATCTCAATGCTGAATATCACTATGGTCACCTTCGAAGTACTCCCCTTGGCAAGCTATGCACCAGTACCAGTGCCTAGTCCACCCTTCACAGCAATTTTGGAACTCTCTTTCTGTAATGGTCACCAAAGCTGTCATTATATTACCCTTGATGTTCTGAATGTCATCAAAATGTCTTCCTCTCAATATTTCCTTTATCTTTGAGTAAAGAAATAAGTCATTGGGGGCCAGATTAGGTGAGTAGGGAGGATGTTCTAATACAGTTATTTGTTTACTGGCTAAAAACTCTCTCACAGACTGCTGTTTGAGCTGGTGCATTGTCATGATGCAAGAGCAACAAATGTTGGCAAAAAGTTCAGGTCATTTAACTTTTTCACTCAGCCTTTTCAGCCCTTCCAAATAGTAAACTTGGTTAACTGTTTGTCCAGTTGGTATACATTCATAATGAATAATCCCTCTGATATCACAAAAAGGTTAGTAACATCGTTGCAACAAGTTTGCGAACTTAATTGTCAGACCTCATAAGTTAATGTTATAATGGGGAAACAATGGAAATAGCTTAAATATCCATCCATAGGGAAATGGTTATATACATTATGTTGCATCAAAAATGTAATACTGTGCAGTCTTTAAAAAGAGAGGTGAGATAGATCTGTATGTATTAAATGGAAATAATATAATCAATGGAAAATGTAGGAAGTCAAATGTGGTGTATCCACACAATAAAATATTATTCATCTATATAAAGCAATGAAGTACTGAAACATGCTAGAACGTGGATGGACCTTGAAAATATTATGCTATGTGAAAGGAGTTAGTCACAAAATACCACATATTATATAATTCCACTTATATGAAATGTCCAGAATAAGGAAATCTGTAGAAACAGAAAGTAGACTAGAGGTTGCTTAGGGCTGGAGAAAATGTGAGGATATATGGGTGATAGGTAAAGGGTACAGGTTTCTCTTTTCCAGGTGATGCAAATATCCTAACATTGATAATTAAGATGGTTCCATGTATTTTCTGTAAATATAATAAAAACCACTGAATTGTACACTTTTAGTGGGTAAATTGTATGGTATGTTAGTTACATCTCAATAAAGCTGTTAGAAAAGTAACAGGACAATATGTAATGTATAATGCCATCTATTTGTAGAGGAAATATACAATAGATGAAGTCTAACAATTTGCTTTGCGAACTTGCCACCATGCACTTACCATATTCCCCATGTATAAGATGCACCCTTTTTTGAAAAATATGGGGTCTAAAAACTGGGTGCATCTTATACAGTGGTTGTAGATTTTTTACATGCATTTCCCTCTGAGGAGGAGGCAATATATGAAGACAGTGATTCGTCATCAGACACAAATGAGGACAAGCTAATGGTTGGGAGTTTTGACAGTGATGAGGAGTTGTATGAATTTTATGATGAATAAAATTTGAGTTCAATAACTTTATGTAATACTTTTTTTTCTCAAATTTCGGGCCACAAAATTAAAGTGCATCTTATGCATGGGAGTGTCTTATACATGGGGAAATACGGTATATTGGCTGCACTGTACAAACAGCTCGGTAAGGTTTCATAACCTTGGTATATCAATGTCTCACAGGATGTGTTTGTGTCGGCGTGTGGTGGTGTCTTGCTGAGTGGCATTCATTATTGTTGTTGCATGTATATCTGTGCCATCACAAGAATGTCTGAACTTGAATTAGAGCAACAAACAAACATTAACTTTATTGTTATACTTGGCAAGAGTGGAAGTGAAATCAGAGACATGTTAGTCCAAGTTTATGGGGATAATGCCATGAAGAAAATGGCAGTGTACAAATGGATTCAATGTTTTTCTGAGGGGAGAGAACACGTCACTGATGAAGAGAGGTCAGGGCAGCTTGTAATGAGCAGAACGGAGGAAAACATTGCAAAAATTCGTCGAATTGTGCATCAAAATCATTGGCTGACTGAGAAGCACAGCAGACCAAGTAAACAGTGATAGAGAAACAGGGAAATCTTAACTGAAAATCTTGACATGAGAAAGGTGTGTGCAAAAATGGTCCCGAAGGAGCTCACTGATGAACAAAAACAAAGGAGAGTCAAAGTTTGCCAAGATCTTTTGGAGAGGCAATATGGTTTTATTGGGCCGTGTTATCACTGGTGATGAAACATGGGTGTACCAATATGACCATGAAGCCAAGTGTCAAAGTGCACAATGGAAGTCAGTCAGTTCTCCACAACCAGAAAAGTTCCGTCAGTCCAAATCAAGAGTCAAAACAATGTTGCTAACCTTTTTTAATATCAAAGGGTTTATTCATTATGAATTTGTACAAACTGGACAAACAGTTAACCAAGTTTACTTTTTGGAAGTGCTGAAAAGGCTGCATGAAAAAGTTAGACGAAAATGACCTGAACTTTTAGCCAACAATTCATGGCTCTTGCATCACGACAATTCACCAGCTCACACGGCACTGTTTGTGAGGGAGTTTTTAGCCAGTAAACAAATAATTGTATTGGAACCACCCTCCCTACTCACCTGATCTGGCCCCCAATGACTTCTTTATTTACACAAAGATCAAGGAAATATTGAAAGGAAGACATTTTGATGACATTCAGGACATCGGGGTAATATGACAACGCTCTAAAGGCCATTCCAGAAAAATAATTCCAAAATTGCTTTGAAGGGTGTACTAGGTGCTGGCGTCAGTGCATAGCTTCCCAAAGGAAGTACTTCGAAGGTGACCATGGTGATATTCAGCATTGAGGTTTGTAGCACTTTTCTAGGATGAGTTCATGAACTTAATTGTCAGTCCTCATACATACATATACATCAACGTAAATGCATAACAAAAGATCTGGAAACATTAGGGAGGCTGGTGACTGATGTCTTATACTTTTTGCTCTGTATAACCCCATACTGTTTATTATGTTTTTTTTTACAATGGAAACATTTTTGCATATAACCTGAGTAATTTAAAACATATATAATGGTTGACAAAACAAGTGTAGCTGGGTCTTAAAATCCTTAGCTCTGTCATGTTTTTGCTCAGCCTTTATTGGTCTAGGCTGGTGATAGGAACAGTGATGTGAAAGTAACCCAAGCATTTATATTGAGAAGATGGTCTTTCCTAAACTGATTTTTTTAATGTTATATTTTCTGTGGTGGTGTATAGCTAGCACTCTGTATTACTTTTGAAAAACTTTG